TTATTATTATTATTATTATTATTTTTATCGTTATTAATGACATCCTCCAGTATGTTACAAAAACATTTATTATTATTATTATTATTTAATTACAGGTTATAATTAATCAAATTAGAGCATCTGAGCAGATCCCTGATCGTCTAATGTACCATTTTCTATAAACACTTCCGTAAATTACAATATTAATTTATAAACCCGGCTAATAAGCAGTAAAGGAGTGCCGTGTGATCTTACCGAAACATTGGCCAGGCACAGCTCACAGGAAGTCTGAGTGTTGCATGCTGGGACGACACAGAAGAATAAAAACACTTTCACTCTCAAAATAAAGAGCTGCATTTGTCCAAAGATTGGTCATAAAGTATAACATCCTGGAGTCACATCATAAATGGCATAACAGAGTAACAACATTTTTCATTGACTTTGCATACGCAACTTTTATTCATAATAGTCCTTTCAGTGTTTTTATATAACTGACTAACACTAATGACATTAAAATTAGTGACAGTTCTATATTAAATACATTAGCAAAGTATAACTTATAGAAAAATGCTTAACGTTACACTATAATAATTTATGTAAATATATTTGCATGCATATTTAAATTACAAGCATTTTTAGATTTTAATATAGAGATGCATGATAAAAAAGAAGACACAGGCAAGTAATCACATACGTTTGTGGACAGCTGGATGAGTTGTTGTTGTTGCTGCTGCTTCAGTAAGACTGAATGCGACACACATCAGCAGGAAGCCCCACATCGACACAAACACTCGTGATTTATCCATATCTGAGCGGATTTGAAGCTCTGTACAGCAGACGAATGCTGAGCTTGTGTCTGAGCTCTAAAATCTTGATTTCGACCACACAAAAATCTCCTAAACGCTCCTCAACACGCAGCCGAAACCATCGAGTGATCTGAAACACGGAAACGCGACGAAGCAGCTGACGAGCGTGCTGCTGCTGCTGCTGCTGCTGCTGCTTTCAAAATAAAAGTCCTTCGCCGTAAACTAAAGCCTAATAAGACGCTAACAGTACAAGCGCCAAACTATGGAGACCCAATCGCGCCAAAAAAAAAGAAGATATTCATGCTTTGATAAGTCAGACTTTAGAAGTCATAATTATGAGATGAAAAGTTGAAATTATAACATGAAAAATCATAACTATGAGATAAAAAATTTGAATTATGAGACGAAAGGCCACAAATCTCTATTATCATAATTTTTTATTCAAGTATCATGACTTTTTAATTCATAATTTAGACTTTTATTTTAAAATGTCGAGTTTCTAAGCCATAATTCCGATGTTTTATCTCATAATTATGAATTAGTATGTCAGTTTCGACCTTATGAGTCATAATTTCAACTTGGTAGGCCTATGTCAAGTCATAATTTCTCATTAGTTATAATTATGATTTACCAAAGCATGATTATTTTTTTCTCCTTACATGGTGCAAATGGGCTTCCATACCAAAGAGACCGAAAATTTAAAGTCCCCATGAAATCAGAATTAAAGTTTTTTGGGTGTTAGTATCAATATGTTAGTCTTAAGGTCATCTATAAGGCAAAACAGTGACAAATACAGTGACAAATATTCTTTTATAAAGAATATCTCTTTGGATTTGAGACTTTAGTCTTTGCAACTTTACAGATCTTCTTTATGCACCAAGAGCTTGTAACACTCCAAAGAGAAAGAAAAATTTAAATCACATCATATGACCCCTTTAATGCATGTGTATAGACAGCAATAGTATATTTTATGGGGAGCAATTCAGTGTTCATTGCTCTCTCGTTTCTGAAGGATAAGAATCGCGAGTCGTGTTTCTCTGTAGCTCAAGACTCTCGACGTCACTTGAGAGTCGTTGTAGGATTTATTCATGAACTCTTGCACCTGGTCCTCCTGGAAAGATGAGAACGATGCAACTTCTATAAAGAAACCCTCCAGGTGTGTTTCGAGCTCAAATTAGCACACTAGATAATGCAAAATGAGAATGAGATTAAACTGCTTCTTATTGACCTAAGAAAACACAAAACATGCACTACAGATTTATGGCCAATTTAATTGCCATTTGGTAATTATTTATATATATAATTTTATAGATTGCACTTTTATGGAAATATTTGCAGTTGGTTTGTATAACGTGTCATTATGAGCTGAGTTTTCGTCGTACTTAAACGTTTCGAGCGATTCGAATCAATGAGTCATTCTGCGAAGCAATTGATTCAGACTTTGGTAAACTTTAGTTTCACCCACCATCACCAATCAGAATTATTGTATTCGAGTAATATTGTTTTTAGCATGAGAAAAGAGCAGTATTTATTGGAAAAGTTGCATTCGCAGGCATCGAGAATGCACGTCAAATGAACATGCTTCAAATAATTTCTATTGTTATTCCAGGAAAGACATGACCAGTAGGGCGCAGTCATGTTTCATTTTTGAATAAACAAATAAAATAAAACCTTTTTGAAGCTTTTACAGTAATCAATTGAACCAATTGCATTGAAACTTCAGTTGCATTGCAATTGTGAAATCGCGTAATTTTCGTGGTTTGATATGCGTCAAAACATTTGTCCGAAACAATTGAAATGCAAAGGTTTCAAAGCTTCACCAAGCAGTGGTTCATTCTGTATATAGTAGGCGAAAAACAGTAAGTGAGACAAATATTAGTGTGTCCGAATTCATAGTATTCGAAAAAAAGTAGGCGAAAAGTACCCGGATGCTAAATAGCTAATGACGTCATCTAGCGAATTTTCAAGTGGGATTTAGCTACTTTCCATTTAAATTTTCTAATAAACACTGCTCTTTTCTCATGCTAAAAACTAATTTTACTTCAACGTAATAATTCCGATTGGTGATGGTGGCCGAAATGAGGTTGTGATGGATAGAATTAACAAATAAAATAAAACATTTTTGAAGCTTTTACAGTAATCAATTGAACCAACTGCATTGAAATTTCAGTTGCATTGCAATTTCAAAACATCATGTGAAATCGCCTGATTTTCGTGGTGTGATATGCATCGAAACATTTGTTCGAAACAATTGAAATGCGAAGGTTTCGAAGCTTCACCAAGCAGTGGCTCATTCTGTTGCGTCGCTTCACTGTATATAGTAGGCGAAAAACAGTAAGAGAGGCGAGTAGTATGTCCGAATTCATAGTATTCGAAAAAAAAAGTAGGCGAAAAGTACCCGGATGCTAAATAGCTTATGGCGTCATCTAGCGGATTTTCAAGTGGGATTTAGCTACTTTCCATTGAAAAACTAATTTTACTTCAACGTAATAATTCCGATTGGTGATGGTCGCCGAAATTAGGTTGTGATGGATAGAATTAGCGACAGTTTTTACAATAGCACGTAATTTTCACAACTCACAATTTTCAAAACTGACTACTTCAGTTCCTCACAGCCTCGTTTTCAATCCTTCAATCCAGAAATTAAACACGGTTAAAAACACAAGATCTATGGAGAAAGATGGTTTTGTGCACAGAATGTCGTAGGATAGTGTCAACCAAGACATCGTTAAATATCGCTGTGCCCTAGTAAAATATTGATAAATCGGTAACACTTTACAGTAAGGTTACTGTAAAGTACATGAACAACACATCTACAGTACTAGTTCATATTATTTTCAACATTCACTTATGCATTATTAAAATCAAAAGTTGTGCTTGTTAACATTAGTGAACTAATAATGAATGACTGTATTTACATTAACTAATGTTATCAAAGATTACTGTAATAAATGTATTGTTCATTGTTCATTCATGTTAGTTAATAAATTGACTAACATTAACGAATCTTATTGTAAAGTGTTACCGATAAATCTTTACATGTGAATGAATACACCGACCTGAGAATCATTTGAACTGCTAATATTTCAGCTTAATTCATGTGTGTTTTCTATCGGTTTAGAATCACAACAATCCCAGATTTGCAGATGAATCTGTTTTTTTTGATAATCGGTCAAACGATTCAGTTCGATTCATTCGAACAGTTCACTCGCGCACTGAATCGTTTGGATATTTTATAAGAACACATTTTAAGTGGTGGATAAGTAGGTGGATATTTACCTACAATCAGTTTGTAGAAAACAAAACTTGTAAACGTCTTCTATCGGTTGACGAAGCAGCTCTTTATTGCGCGTGCAGCTTGTTAACGATTCTGTGCTGCAGATAAGAATTACTATATCCTTTTTTACCCAAAACGCTTCATCTGGAAAGCATCTGCTGTGTGCAAACATCTGATAGACGTCTGTAAGATGTCAGTTTTACATGCATTCTAGATCATAAACATCTTAAAGACATCTTCTAAACGTCTATTTGACATCTGATGGGAAACGTCCTATAGATGTATTGCAGATGAGCAAACACTCTGAAACATACGTCTTGCAGATGTAATGCAGACGTCAGGGTTGCAATTGACTCAGTTGAGGACGAGTGTGTTGTGTTGACACTGAAAAGTTTGTGCAAAAAATGAAAAGTGTGCGAACGCAACAAGAAAATGTCAGAAATGGTGATTCTAAGCACATTAGAGGCACTGGTGAACTGATTCGGTCCCGTGTGAATTCAGTTGAGAAATACAGTGAATGTTGACAACAAAATAAAACATGAGGAGGAAGCTTTAGGAGAGGAAACGGGTAAAAATGTGAGCATGAGTCAGACGAGCACATGGTGAACTTTACATTGCATCGAAGATGCTGAGCTAAATAAATTATAGATAAATAATAATTTTTTGATAAATATGACAACAACTTTAGATGCTTTCTTATTTTAAAAATGTTAGTTTAGTTTAGTTAAAAGGTTTGAGTTTTTTTTGTGCATGGTGACTAAAAGCAGCTTCTCTGTAACTCTACTTTATCTGCCATAACTCTTTTCCATACTGCATGCATTACTATAGTGAAGAACAAAATGTCAAACATTTTAAGTCAAATTAAAATGAAAACGGAACATTTAAGAAATAAAAACTTATTGAAAATATTATTAAAAACTATATAGACATTTAAAAAAACTAATAAAAATTGCAAAAACAAAATGTCTACAACTTTTAAATGAAAACGAAAAATATATACAAATAAAATCTAATTCAAAATATAAAAAAAGACATTTAAAAAATAATAAAAATAACAAAAACACAAAAAATTCTAAAACTTTCAAAATTAAAATTAAAACAGCAAATATAAAAATTAAAAAATTATTCACAATATTAATAAAATATAATAAATATTATAAAAAAGAAATATTAAAAAACATTAAAATTAAAACTAAAAATATATACAAATAAAATCTAATTCAAAATATAAAAAAAGACATTTAAAAAATAATAAAAATAACAAAAACACAAAAAATTCTAAAACTTTCAAAATTAAAATTAAAACAGCAAATATAAAAATTAAAAAATTATTCACAATATTAATAAAATATAATAAATATTATAAAAAAGAAATATTAAAAAACATTAAAATTAAAACAAAAAATATATAAAAATAAAATCTAATTCAAAATATAAAAAACCCCCGATAATTTTGTATCAATGAAGCAAAAATAACACTGATTTGGACACTTTGTATGGCTGCATAAAAGCTGAAGTATAAAGTATTAGTTTCTATTTTCTCTTGTTTTTTGCCATCTTATGATGAATCGCTTGATGTTTTTGTAAATGTAAATTTATATAAAGTAAAAAAAGACAATAATAAAAATAACAAAAACACAAAAAATTCTAAAACTACAAATTAAAATTAAAACAGCAAATATATATATATATATATATATATATAAAATAATTCACAATATTAATAAAATATAATAAATATTATAAAAAAGAAATATTAAAAAACATTAAAATTAAAACAAAAAATATATAAAAATAAAATCTAATTCAAAATATAAAAAATAGACATTTAAAAAATAATAAAAATAACAAAAACACAAAAAATTCTAAAACTTTACAAATTAAAATTAAAACAGCAAATATA